CTCTGGGCAATGTCTCATGGAGGGTCCGTAGTAGTCATCAGTGGAGAGTGTCCTCATGGAGGTGTCCACCTGGGGTCACCCTCATGGCAATGGCTCCCTTCAAGACTACCTTTTCCCCCTTTTATAATGAGCTGGGGGGAGTACCTCTGTTCTTCATGTCACATAATACACATTCCTGGTGAACCAGTTTCCCTGGTCTTGCAACCAACTGTTCAACTGCATGTGTCTGCAGCAATTCCTGGGATATCGGGCAGAAATTCCTCACACCAGTCCTCGAGGTAACAGATAAAAAAGTCTTATCTCAGCATTTTCTCATGCATCCTCCAGGCAATGGACGGTGGAGTCCCAGTTCAGCTCCTCACACCCTCCTCCCAAGCAGCAGATACTGGAGTCTTAATTCCTCTCACCCATCTCTGAGACAATGGATTGGTGGAATTCCATCTCAGCTTCTCATACAAATCTTTGAAACAGTGGACAGTGGAGTCTGATTTCAGATCAGTCTTTCACACCCTTCTCTTCCATGCTATTGCTGTGAGTCTCTTGTTTTTTCCCTAGCACTAATTAAAAGCAATTTGTAGGCAAATATATCTCTCTTTAGTTATAAATCATGCAATGCGATCCAGTACCAGATGTGAACATACAGCTGGCAGCGAAAGCAAGCACTTAACAGCTTTGCAAAAATTTACAAAAAAGTTGGTTAAAAATAAACTAATAGAAATCAGAATTAAAGAAGGTGGAGGTTTTAATCTAATACATTTGTTTAATGATCTTGAATTTCAGTACTGGAAAAGGGAACGTAGGGCACAGGTGCAGAGCTAACTTTCTGTGTTCTCTCTTGGTATCATTAGGTATATCAAGACTGTGTATCAAGAAAATAGCAGTAAGTCATATGAGAGAAGTCTGGCATTTAAAAGCAGCAGCACTAATCATGAATTAACTCGAATCAATATTATTTATTTTTTATATTACAGTATACCATGGTTCTAATTTAAGAAATTTAGAAATTGTAGGTTCAAATTTAAGAAAAGATCCAAGATGATGTTGGAACAGAATTCAAGGAACAAGGATGCCTGGAAGAGGGAGGCACCATCACTAGACTGCCAGTATTTATACTACCTTCTGCAGATCGAATGGCATAAAAAAAATACAGAAGAAATCATTCAACCAAAAGACATCAACACTTGTAATCCTTTCATGCTGAAGCACTGTATTTCTATCAAACATGGGGACTTTGGAAAGAACTGAAAGGTCCTTTACAGAATAATTCAGGCTTGTCACAAGGATGCTTGCCACAAACAAGCACAAGTGAAAGCTCAGTGAGGAGCTAGGAGGCATTAACAGAATAACAGTGCAAGGCATCCTTGCGGTGAAGGAAAAGGCTCAGCTGAATCCAAAATACAAACAAAAGCTGACCAGCTATAACCACCACAGTTCAAACCCCAGAAGCCAACCACAAACAGAAGGGGCTCTGCAGCTAAATGGTTCCAAGTCTTCATTGGCTGAATGTGGAAAAATTCAGAAAACCACGAGTTCATATTTGAGACTGCTGAACGTTCCTAGAGAGCTTTAGGAACCTGTAGATGTTTCTGTACAAGCTGCTACTGAGCTGCAGTTAAAATTACTGTTTCTAGAGTAGTGTTAGCCTGTGTTAAGAAACCATTGTCCTCTGCTCAAGGCATACTACCTCTCCTTAGACATATCATAAGCTCACCCTCTGTAGAGGTCCCAAGGTCCTACTGCATGCAGCTTGAAGAGCCAATTATCTGGAAGAAAAATAGAATCTCTGGAGGGAAACCCACTGCCACTTCTATATAGTAGGTATGTCTCATGGCACCTCTTCACAACAGGCAACGCAGATGGCAATGCTGTTTCATCAACAGGGTAAAGCCACCGCTAAAAAAAAGAACAAGTTTTTTCTGAAACGAATGAAAGACAGGTTTTGCACTGATCAGCAAAGACTGCAATAATTACCATGAGCTGTACTGGGGCTTGTACTGAAAAGGTTGCACAGTTCTTTCCAGTGAAGAATGAATTCTCACATATAAACCAGCATGCACAAGCTGTAGGGCATAAGATATAATTATAGCATCGCTTCTAAGGAAAAAAAAAAATGCCTTGAAACTTTTTTTTGGTAGCAAATAGGAAGCTGTATGATGATTTTTGCAGCATCAGGCAGGGAGTACTAACCGCTCATATGCACCACTTAATTCTTTTTAGCAAATTAAATGATGCTAATGTCATAAAAAATTATTCACCTTGAGAGGTTAGTTAAATATATTACTAGCAACATATTATTTTCTCCTTTATTTTAAGAAAATATAAAACTTCACTGTAAATACCTTTTTTATTTTTCCCCTATGATCAATGACAGCTCAAAAACATGGATTAACAAAATGCTTTTCGTATTATCCATTAAATTAAGTCTAAGTAAATGACAATTTATATTCTACTTGATTACTTTCAGGACAGCTATGGAACTGCATTTGGAATTTCTGAAAACTATAGGAAAGGTATTCTCTTGATTGGGTTGAACCCTGCAGCAATAATAACACTTAAATTAACTTCGTGAGATTGATGCTGTTAAAGAATGACTGATTTCTTCCAGATAACTGTCTAGTTGATCTATAGCCTAATGCAACAAAGATGTTAAAATGTTTAAAGTGTTTTAGTTTTCTTTTTTTCTATTTCAAAGAAGTTAAGAAAGGAAGCACAAAACCTATTGCAATGCTCTGCTTCCAGAACATGTAGTGACAGGAAAAGGGGGAATGGCTTCAAGCTAGAAGAGGGTAGATTTAAATTAGACATTAGGAAGAAGTTCTTCAGTATGAGGGTGGTGAGGTGCTGGCACAGGTTGCCCACAGAAGCTGTGGCTGTCCTGTCCCTGGCAGTTTTCAAGGCCAGGTTGAAGGAGGCTTTGAGCAACTGGGTCTAGTGGGAGGTGTCCCTGCCCATGACAGGGGGTTGGAACTGGATGAGCTTTAAGGTCCCTTCCAACACAAACCAGTCTGTGATTCCATGAACTGCTGGAAAACTTCTGCCACTGAGGTAGGAAGAGCATTCAACAGTAGTACCTGCAAATAGCTTTAGCTCACTCAGTAAAATCAGATTACTAAAAAAAAAAACAACAAAAAAAAACCCATGATATGAAGTTCCCTGAAAAATTAAGCAATTCTGACTGAACACACAGGGCTGCACATGGCACCTACGCCCCTTTTCACCAAAATATGGGAAGAGGAATACTTTTTCTTTATAATATCAGTAGAAACAAACACACACATATAAAAAACCCCAAACCAAAAATCCACTCCAGGAGAGTTAAACTTCACGTTTCAATCTCAGGAATCAATAGTTTCATTTGCCAGTAACATTACTGAAAATTATTAGCTTACCCAAACAAGCATCCATTCCATTTTTTCTACTGGAAAATTAGAAACTTTTGCATGATTTCCTACCAGGAGATTCGAGTTGTGGAGGTACAACGAGGAAGAGGACGGCTCTTTCACTAAACACAAAGCCTCATGCAAACACAGACACACTATCCCCTACACAGAAGATGGAGAGGTAGGACTTGGTGCTGTGCTCACCATCTCCTGTCTAAAGGCATCAGAAAACTAGAATAATTATATGAACCACTGGAAACAAGTCCCTGTTCAGTCTCACACCTGACCTCAGTTTCAAAATCAATTTTTCATCAGTATTGAGCAGACGAATGAACACTGCAGTGTTCAGATTCTCATTATTTAAAAGTGCTTCAGAGCAGTTAAAAAATAATAAATTACAATCCTAAGGGAATTCAAGTGCGGAAGACTCTGCCCATCACTTTTTTCTTGCCTTCCAGCAATGAAGTGCTGCTGTGTGAACGTAGCACTTGAAGCATCAGTTCCAGCTGTATTTTAACTAAAAATACTTACATTTCATAATAAATATCTACAGGATGCAGTGAAGCTAGCTGCTAATTTCTTATCTAACGTATCTTTCCCTCCAGCTTCTCAGAGACTGCTATTGCTGCTAAGGTCCCCATCTCCATAGTTCTCAAAACTAAACGTAACACTCATGCTGACAAGTGTCAATTCTGGGCTAAATAAAACTATCAGTAACAGAGATGGAAGTGTTTCAGTGAAGAGTGCTGAAGGGAAGAAAAGCAGATTATTTGCTTAGATAATAGAGATATAAACACATGGAGCAACTCACCTATGTTCACTCTGAGCAGAGTTACAGGACAAGGGGAGATTCAATTAGAATGAAAAGCAATCAATCCAGACCAAGATTTCAAGACACAGCATAATTACCAGCTAAGTGGACTAAGTAGAAATTTCCTGTACGCTTATCATGTATCCTTACATTATCATTATGTGTATCTACCTTGGAGTGAAGATGCATTGTCTTTTCTCCTGAATTATCTATATTATACATGGGAGCACTGCTTTCATGTTACCAAAGCAGAAAACACAACTTGGAGGTTGTGTGGCGAGAAAAGTGGTACTAAAACTGTAAATACCAACATTTTAAAGCTAACACTTCCTACTGTGAGCTGATGTAGAAACTTTTCATACCACAGGTTTTTTTAAATGCAATGCATTTATGTAAAATCACAGACCATTTCAGAAGTGTATCTGCACTGAAAGAAAAAGTACCAGAGTATGTCAGATTCCCTATCCACATCTGTCGCAACAAACGTTCCCAGTAGGTCATCTCTTAAGTGTAACACAGTATTTATGTACATGCAAAATTAAACTGATGACAATGAAATTGCACATTTATAATTGTAATTTTCATCATGCCCTCTTCCTTTTTGCAACTGAACTGTTTACATTTCTCTTTCTTTCCATCTTAGAATTTTTGACTGTAAAACCTTCACATTGAGATTTGTTCCTAAGAAAACAGTGTGTTTTGCTTCCCAGAGCCTGAAATCTGGGCACAACTCAACTGTAATTTCCAAGTCATGTTACTTCATAATTCTACCTGAAACTAAGTTGGAGTAGTGAGCAGATTCCTCTTACCTGTTTGTGAGCATGATCATAAGAGTTAATGTGATTGTCAAACTCCTGGTGTTTATAGTACTGCTTGTCACAAAGTTCACAGTAGAAGTTGGCTTTAAGATCTTCCAGAGCTTTTGCTATCGTGTTTTTCTTTTCAGCATAATCCTGGAAGGGGGTAGGAAAAAGGAATTTTAGTTTTGCCTTTGATGCTGCAAATGGATTTTGTGCTCTGAAGTTAATCATATTTGTCAATATTTACACACCTCTGTAACTAAAAGCCTTCACTATTTGCTGTGTTACACTGCACATATTTACTGTATCTGCTGGGAGGCTGAAGATTTGCACTCTCCAATTTGCTATACAGTTGCCATCTCCCCATACAGGCTCTGTTAGAGGCTAGAAGCATTTTCCCAGATTCTGTCTGCATACAAATATTTATCATGCTGAGGCTATTTTTGAGGTAATTTCTATTCAAGACCTGCTAGGTAATACATCCAAACAGAATAAGCATGAAGATACAAACTGCATTAAATTAGTTACTAGGCTTTTACAAGAAAGTGCATTTACTAAAAAGAAAACAGAATTCAAGGAACCATCCTGGGTCCTTCTTGAACCCGTGGAGACATGAAAACCTGAGGAACACTTTCAAAGCTGAGACATAATAAGTACCTTCATCACTTTGTCATCAAGTATTAGAAGGACATACAACTCCATTTACCATACATTAGCAAAAGCATCACAACCTTGCTTATCGTTTTGAGCTAATTACATAAAAGTAATATATATTAATTACCTAAATACACTGATGATAACATGGCCTGTTCTGAAAGACTGTGGAAATGGTCTGTCATCCCAAATTAGTTTAATATCAGTTAAACACTGAACATGTATAACTTTAGTGCAACAACCCCTGCTTTTGATGAGTCTGTCTGGGACAGAATCACACCCTCAAACCCGAAATGCAGGAAATACTGTTTGAGAAGATAACACCCCTTTGACTTGTTTCACAAAATTTCATTGCTGCAAGCACTTTGGAACTGACCCCAAATTCTCCTTGTTTCTGTCTTCTTCCTTGTTCAGTTAGATTAAGATAAAATATGATCTCATAATCAGAACACTCAAAACTGAGATAATTTTGGGAAAAAAAGTCCCTATTTGCTAGAAGTTTTCAGAGCTTAGGACTAGTACACTTCCAATATATTCTAGGGAGTTTAACATGGAAAATTCAAGTTTATCAGCTTAGAATGTTTGCAGAACAATGATGTCTGTTAAAAGAAAAAGAGGTATCAATTAGAATTATATTCATCAATTAGAATTATATCAATTCAATATATCAATATATCAATTAGAATTATATCCACAAAGCATTCATTTAAAATAGCACAGAGAGACCCTAAGGAGATATACACCCTTTAAACACTTTAAAAGTAATTTTTATAGTCTACAAAGCGATGCCACATGGATTTTTTTTAAAACACACAAAAATCTGGATTTTGGTTGATTACCAGAACTCTGAAATATTATATATGACCTCTGTGAAGGACAAGAGCAAATGTGATGTATTCTAAGACGAGTGAATATTATTTTTTCTTTATATAAAACATCTCACACCATGTTACTGGTTAATCCTCAAGCAAAACTTTGCAAGACTTACTAATGTAGCATAATGCCTTGAATAAAGTTACTTAACTTCACTGGTGTTCCTCTTGACATAAAGCACCATTTTGGAAGCAATATACTTATTATATAGCAGAACCTAACCTGAACACAAACATATTTGACATGCCAATGCATTCTAATGGAGCAGAGACAGTGAAACCCCAAGAACAACTTTACTGCAAAGTAATAAAATCTTATCATTATCTTGGGATTTCTACCACTAAAATCCTTCAGCTATAGGGCTTTTAGGAGTAGGTTCATTTTTACGTTACATTATTACATCACAGTTTCAGAGGCAAGTCATCATATAATCTAAATTAGACACAAATAAGGTGGATGAAATATAATAAATAATGTAGTTTGATCATGCATGGGCAAGGGGAAAACCAGGACTTTTAAATAACAAGAACCAAAAGTATTTGAGCTTAGGAACATATGAATGGTTGTATTGGACCAGATGAACCTTTCAAACCTGCATAAGATTTTATTCTGTAGACCTAAGAGAAGTGACTTGACTTGCTTTGCAGCTGTGTTCTGCTAGTTTCAGTTGCTGCATACTGGAAAAGGTCATTAACACCCACTTTTTATTCCCTTTAACTGACTCATTCATAATTACATACACCCCCTATCACACTGTCTCTTTGGTATCTCTGTCTGAATGATATAGTTCTGGTTCATTCAGGCATTCCTTATATCAAGGCCACTGATCACCTCTGCTTGTTCTTTTCACAGCCTCCCAAAGAAGATGTGATAACACGATATTCTATGGTGCCATGCAATAATATGTTAATATTCTCTATTTTGTACCTTATTCCTTTTTGTACTAAGTCTTAACATAGGAATTGTTTAAAATCACAATAAAGCAAAATCAACATTTTTATAGAACTCCTTTACCCCATGTATCTCTTGCTGCTGCATAATATTTTGATGGCAGGAGATGTTTTTTTCCAACTACTAAACTTCACCTGACTTCAGAAACTTTATATTTCCTTAGTGGCACAAAGGCCACTAACAAACCTTATGGATAAGGTTTTGGCTTTGGGATCTAAGCAAGGGCAATAGCAATAGCATTTACTTGTGGCAGTGTAGCATTTAATAGCATTTAATTGTGGCAGTGTAGTATCGATCTTGGACAAGAATGTATGCACAGCAAAAATTTCTAAAGAAATAGTAGCAGAAGTGTGTATTTTTCACAAAATTTTGCATTGTACTGCACTTCAACCAATCATGCAAAACCAAACAGTTTCTTCATGTTAGCCGCTAAGACCACCAGATGAGCTGGAACAATTCTAATTTTTATCTTGTGGGAAAAGATACTGAATCACTTCTCCCACCGTCTTTGTTACTCTGTTCTAGAACTTCAGCTTACTGCATAGCACATGTATGCATTAAAAAAAAAACTTTAATAATACCCTTAAAGGAGGGTCTTCAGGAGATTCCCTGCAGCCATCTTCTGGGCTGACCTGGGATTGAAGATAAAGTCCTGTTGCTGGTTGGCATCAGAAGAGGAGGAAAAACTGATTTCAAGGATGAACAGTGAATGGAAATGGGAGAACACAGGCTGCTGCTTTCCTGCCTGCTAGGCTATTTCTATCAATTTTGCAGGGAGGACCACCTTGGAAAAGGAGGATTTATCAATTTTGATGAGGGATAACTGTGCAAAAACTGACAGTAAAAAATTACAGTCCCTGGACCTTGATAGTACTGGGCAATGGACTGCAGATGAAACTGCAGAAACTTACTGGAGATGAATATTCCTGGAGTAAAGTACGAGTGAAAAAAATCACTTAAACTGGTTAAGTATGATCAAGCTTAGTCTCAATTTCATAAAGATTTGCAAACCATCCTGGAAGTTTTAAAAGAACTTTGAATTACCATTCAGCTTGGTAATGAAACTCGGAACTGAGTGTCACTTAGTTTCATTACTTTTTCCTGAAAGGCTTATTATCTGAAAGTCCACAGCTAATCTCCATAACTTATATGAAAGATCGCTAATAAGTGATCACATCTATCAGTTGGCTTTATTTCTCTAAATCCATCTTCTCCATCCTCCAAAGCTTTAAGCCTGGGAAAATGCCGGTGCAAACATCTGATAAACTGGAACAAGAGATGGCTTCACCTGCAGAGGGGGTACCTGTCACTGACTAGACTGGACTTTCTCCTCCCAGTATATGAGAGAAAAAGAAAGAAGGAAACAGAAACATTAAACCCTTGGCACAGATGACTGGAGAGGGTTGTCTGTATGCCTCAGTCTAGTGGATATTTTAATGGAGTGCACTTTATGCTCATACTTCTACTGTCTGCAGAAAGGTCAGCTAGAAAAAAACAAGTAGGAATATGAGATTAGAATACATTATCTACTCCATGTTGATTGCCAGTGTGAATATTCTTACTTGACAAAAAATGTGAGAAGTAAGCTATTTTGCATTTACTGTAGACTTAAAAGGGTCAGGCCTGCAGTCATTGCAAAGTAAAATGTGTTACAGAAATAAATCACTTCTTCCGGATAATTTATCCCAGAGAGGATTAGACTGTTGTGGTCTGATCCTCCAGATTAGATCCCTTTAGACCTGACAGATGTTCCAGTGAAACCTTGTTTCACAAAAAGCATTTAAAGCATTTTTTTTTTCTGTTCCAATAACCCCCCAAAAACCCAAACAAAAAAAAAAATACCACCCACCAAAACCCCACCTGACCCCCCTCAAAAATATATTCTGAACATTGTCAAAAACTTCATACTGACTGTACTTACAGAAAAGGATTTGTCTAAAAATATGCTGTTACCAAAAAAGAAAGAAAAAAAACATTATAAACCCCAAACCAAACAAACCGGGAAAGAATTAGCCATCACTTAAGAGCACCCTTCTCTACAGTCAATTAACTGATACCTGTGGACATAATTTACAATAGGTTCCTTAATTTCTGGTATATTTACAGGTATTATAAAAACAGTCCAAAGAAGCAGATTTCACTGAACAAAATGTACAATTTACAAACATCTCCGCTATTACCCATCTTGGTATTACCTGGCATATATAACTTTTTTTATTATCTTCATATATCACTTTTTTTCTCATGTAAGTGGTCTACGCAATATCCACTGGTGCACTTGAAGGAATAAATGAAAAATAGAACACATTAATAATACTAATGCAGTCTAGTACCAAATCTAATTATTTATAAGGTTCTTGTCCTTACCAGGGCAGTGAGAACAAAGCAAAAGGCAATTAGATACACTGATCAAATTACTCATTGATCTTAACAAATTCATTTCTAGGGAGTGGATAGTGAGTTTCAGTCTAATATCAAGGAGACTGGCTGGGAAAATAAATACCAAGAATACTGTCATATCTTTTTGATTACTATATTTGAAACTTTTGCATTAGCTGTGAGATGTGGCAGCAGCCTAAAATGTACAAGGCCATGAACATCAGATACTATACCCTTAATTTCTTCATCCCTTCTGACATTCTCCTTCCTGGGAAAGGAGCTTTATCCTCAGCAAG